TGGTGATAATGCTTTTTTTAGAAAGTACATCTGCAAATTTGAAGTACACAACCTCTAAAATTAGGTCTTAAGCCTTACCAATTTAAGGTAAAGAATGACCAAATTGGGACCAGCAGATAGTGTAATGGTTACATTGCTGGACTCCCACGTAGTCAACTGCAGTTTGAGCCCTGGACTCGGCAAGTTCAAACTCAAGTCAGGCACGTTTGCTTGCATGCCCAAAATCCCAAGAGGAGAATGGAGAAGGGACTGCAGTGTGGCCATACCCCTGGGGGGTGATTTCTCACTTTCTGTCTCTCTGTCTCTGTCTTGCTCTCTGGCCAGCACATGTGCCCTGTAGCAGAAATCTCTATGAAAAAAAAGGACCAAATCAAGTGTTCAAGAGCTTTCTTAAATAGCTTTATTGTAGAGAGAAAGCTTATATTTTTTTCTGAAGGAGTAAACTTAGAGTTCATTAATCATAAAAATTATAATTTGGCCATGCATGATAACAAATCATGCCATGATTCAATAAGGGCATCTCGGATTTCTTAGAAAACTGTAATTAGATAGCCAATTTGTAATTAAGTAAAAATGAAAGCTGACCTTTCTCCCTGAGACAAAAATCACACTAACCATAGGAAGAACAGAAGATTTATGATTCAAATAAGCCTAAATAGAATTTAAGGGAATGGGACTTTGCTTCCTCTTGGGAGCTATCATCTTTTCTCCTTGTCAGTAACACAAATTTAACAAAATATCCAATGTATTGGAACATGGGAATTTCAATTGTGCATTCATTTGACATTTCAATGTGACATGCTGCTCTGTAGAGTGGATATTTTGTGTAATCCATCAACTATTAAAATTCTGTCAGTGTAATAGTGAGATTTCAAAGTGTACCACAGAACCCTGTGCTGAGAAGCAGAAACAAACAGCCGATTGCAATGACAAAGTCAGCATTTCTTACTTCCTTGCTGCAAAAAAAGCAAATTCCTAATTTAGTCTTACAGGGCTCTCGCCTCCGTGCCTGCTCAGGTAAACAATGAAGAGCAGAGAGAAATGCTCTTGCTTCCGGTAAGTGGTGTCTGACAACTTTCTGGGAAGTACACTAAGGTCCCAGGGTCGAATGACGGACATGTTTCCTTGCACAAACACCAGAATGCACCCAGGTGAGAGGACTTTGATTCTCTCTCCCAGAATCTTTTTTCTCATTCTACAAAAAAAGTACATTGCACACGACTTAGAATATTAAATCTCCAGAGAAACAAATTTAGTTGACAAATTTCATCGCATTGAGTGTACTTTAAAACGCTGGCTGTGAATGGAATTAAAATCTCAGTTTATTTTGTTGCCCCCAAAATTCATGCACAGTTTTTAATGATATGCATTTTCCATAAAGTTTTCTTTTTCTTTTTCATTTTTTTGTCATTGGGTGCATGCACTCACTACAAGAAGACAGAGAGAGGCAAAGTCAGAAATCACCTCCTGGGGGGGATGACCACACTGTACTTCCTTCTCCATCCTTTTCCTCTCAGGATTCTGAGCACACATACACACAGGCCTGGGGTAATTTTTCAAGCTGTGTCTGGTCCTTGAATCACATTCAGTCATGAGGGAGTCCAGTGCTTTAACCGCTACCCTATTTGCTGGTCCCTTTTCATAAACTTTTTGAAGACCCCAGTATGTTTATGGTTTCTGTTCTCTGATTCCTTTACTGTGCCCTTCTCTTCTTACCATCATTTCACTTTCTTTTAACTCTTGTGACTCCTACAGTTTAGTCATTCATCTCTCCTAGCTAAAAGATGTGGGTACTATGCTTTATTTTAAAACTTCTCTGAAACACTGATTTCTCTTCAGATACCAAACCAATGGAGATCTTAGAGCCCTTCAACCCTTCAAGTCAAGCCTGAGAGAACACTGGAAGTGCTTCTGGCCAAGGGGATGCATCAGGCTCCAACTCAGGAGTTAGTCTGCTGACATCGTGACAGGCTTCTAAATGAGAGCTCATACATGGGATTTTCTTAACATGGGTGGCAGGAAAACATGAGGAGAAAAATCGCAAGCAAATTGGAATTATGGTCAATGTATTTGAGATAAAGATATTAACAAGTTGAATACATTTGTCATGTACCTCCAGGAAAACAATGAGCATTTTGAGTTAAGTATTAGGGATTGAATAGTTTAGTAACAAAGAGAAATAAGTACGAAAGTCAATAACTTGTCTGATTTGATGCTGCAGAGGCTGTCTCAACCAAACTCGTTAGCAAAGGAAGTTAAATAAGCACTATGAATATAATATAAACAGCTAACTTGGGCTCTTCTCAATTTTCTCTCTCTATTAACATTCATTTTATATAATCAGTATAATCTAAACCATAATGAGAAATCTACTCATACAAATAAATAATAATTTATTGGATGTATGCTATTTGCTAGGAACTATTTTATGAGCTTCAATGTCTTATTTCATGTAATGAACAAAACACAATATTATTTAGATACTATTTTGTCCATATTACAGATAAGGAAGCTGTCACTCAGAAAGCTTTAATAAATTGCCCAATGCCCCATAGTTAGGAAGAGTTTCCAATCCCAATATGTCTAGCCAAGAATCCATGCGATTTGTTATCGAAGTATGCATTTATTCTTCTCAAATCCAGTATTTTGTTTCTTGGCCTTAGATCATTTATGTGTTTTCTATTTCAGTATCATAGAGTGATTAATTTAACTCCCACTTTGATGACGACACTAGGGACAGTTGAGTGAAGTTATTTATGTAAAATAGACAACCAGAAAGACTGTTACAGGGCAAAGATTGATAGTGCAAACTCCATCTTTCCATGACATTATTCAGCCAATGGTTCTATAGTCAACACAGAAAGGGGTGGGTGGCTCTGCCTACAGGAGCTGAGAAATCCACCCCAACCACAAATATTAATTTTAAATGTAGTGGCCTAAACTCACATGTGATGCATAGCCTAGTTGTGGGAAGCAATCTGATATCTGGAAGCCATAGTGAGGAGTATCTAAGACAACAAGTATACACACACACACACACACACACACACACACACACACACACCTATTGCTAGAGGAAAAGTAGTGAAAAATAATACACCCAAATGCAGAGCTGAACTGGGCTGTGGTGGAGGAGAACGTATGGCATATAAAACATTTTGCTAAGGTTTTGAGTTGCCAGCTGTAATAAAGCCCCAGACAAACATTTTCCCTTCTAAGATCTCCAGAAGTACCAAAGAATCTTACATATAGATTTTGCCAGATGTGCATTCCTTTTGGCCACAAAGAGATGATGCTTAACCTCAATGTGAAGATTAAGCTAGCATTAGTTCTCTACAGATGAACACATTATGTTTTTTATTTTTTCTTTTAAGAAGGTGGTTGTTTCCTTCTAAAGAAAGTCTCCTCTTCAGACGTTGGCAGAACTCCTTCCCTTTTCCTGTGTTGGCCCAGTCTGTGCTATATGCTATATATTGGTTTGGCAGTACATACTGAATTTTACCTCATGACTTGGACAGAAAAGCATAGCCTGGAATTGTTGCATACTGGTATGATTTATAGAACACAGACCAGATGAACTCAGGAAGCCCCCAAGGTGTGTAAATAATAGTAAGTAGAAGGATTTGCAAAATCCAAAGTTCGGCTGTGATCAACTACATATATTTTATTCTTGAAATACAAAACATAATCAAAATGTTAGGAGCATCATGGAAAATTTCTTATTTAAAAAATAAAATGGATGAAGCTCAAATATAAGAACCAGATTTTCACTCTCTGAGTCCAAGATATGGATGTCTGTGTATTTAGCTCCTGAGTCTTTAATATGTGCTATCTTATTTCAGTTGACTTTAAAAGGGTTAAATCATAGCATCACTTCTTTGTACAGCTAACACATTCAATAATCAAAGTTTACATTTAACCTTTCAGAAAAGGTTAAAATGTATTATTACTTCTTTGCACAACACATTCAACAATAATAGAAATATTGGTACTGAATCACAGCGTGACATACTTTTTACATCATTTTCACACATACTCTCTCATTTGGTCCTCCTCAAAACACTGTTAAGTATAATGATAGAAGAGAAAACAAAGGCACAGATGTGAGAATAGCTAGGAGAGTACACCAGAGACCTTGTCACAAAACTTAGAGTCTAGAGTTTTTTCCCCTGCCTTGAGCTCTCATAAATGTGCTATTGAAATAGCTCTATCTTATATTTCTATTGAGCTAGAAAATCGGGAATACCTAGGTAAAGCTAAATGAAACCATTAGCCTTCAGTCTAAATTCTCCTATTACATGTCATACTTTTGACTTGGAATTCCTATAATATTTGCACAAGAAAATGGGAAATATAGGAAGCAGAAAATAGAATTTGAATACTGTTGGAAGAAATTTTCCACTAGAGAAGAAAAAAGTGATTTTGGTTAGTTAAAATAAAAAATTTCTACCTCCCTGCTATCTTTCTATCGACCTCTATTTATTAGTAGACAATTATCTTCATATTTCACATATATTCAAGTCAACACTTGACCAGGATACTCAAAATTGCCCTCAGAGTACATTAGTCTGTGTCTCAAGAAAATGAAGCATAACAGAAAGAGAAGAAAAACAGAAAACTTTCCACTTATAATCGATTTAATTGTCCAGAGTTCTGAATTGCTGCATGAAGCAGAAATTCCTTCTTCATAACAAATGGTAGATACGAACTTGGGAGGTTGATTGCTATTCCCTCCAACAAAGTTTGTTCTTTCATCTCTCCTTTCTCTGTCTCTTTGTTTCTCTCTCATTCTTTTTCTCTGGATCTACCTCTGTCTCTGACTCTAGCAACCTGTTGTACATGCTTTTGCAGAAGTTCAGGAATAGCTTGCATCTAGGGAATATCGCTGCCTGAAACATTACAGGATATAACAAAAGCTTTACCCCAAAGCTTCTATGCATTATGAAAGCTTGCACTTGGATAATAGAAATATTGAGCCTCAGGTGACTGAGAACACTTACTGTTGGTTGCATAACGTATGGCGGATGAGGCATCCATGAAGTACTCTGGACCTATGCATCAAACAGCATTTATTAGCACAAAGCAATCACAGACAGAACTTGGTTCTTGCTTTCAGTGGAGTCACATTAGATCATAAGAAAGTGGAGTCCATCTGACTTAACAGCTAATTAGTATTCAAAACAAAGGATAAAAAAGAGAGTTCTTGGACCCAGTTAGTTTGGTCTCCAAAACATGCTACAATGGAAAACAGCTTCCCAAGTCTCTGCAGCTGACAGTGCCCACATGAGCCAGCCTGAGTCTTAAAGATGTTTTGAGGTTTGTGTTGAAGAATGAAGCTTTAGGCGGTCTCAGGGACTATTTGGAGTCAACTCTCAGGGATGCTCTGGCAAGCAATGAAAGAAGCAAGAGTTGACTGCTAAGACTTTCTTTTTTTTTCAGACATGGGTTGTACCTTCCAATGCTCAGATGATCCATCTTATAAATATGTCCAAGTGATGGGAGCAGCAGATAGCGTAATGATTACATCATTGGACTTCCATGTAGTTGAATGCATCAAACAGCATTTATTAGCACAAAGCAATCACAGACAGAACTTGGTTCTTGCTTTCAGTGGAGTCACATTAGATCATAAGAAAGTGGAGTCCATCTGACTTAACAGCTAATTAGTATTCAAAACAAAGGATAAAAAAGAGAGTTCTTGGACCCAGTTAGTTTGGTCTCCAAAACATGCTACAATGGAAAACAGCTTCCCAAGTCTCTGCAGCTGACAGTGCCCACATGAGCCAGCCTGAGTCTTAAAGATGTTTTGAGGTTTGTGTTGAAGAATGAAGCTTTAGGCGGTCTCAGGGACTATTTGGAGTCAACTCTCAGGGATGCTCTGGCAAGCAATGAAAGAAGCAAGAGTTGACTGCTAAGACTTTCTTTTTTTTTCAGACATGGGTTGTACCTTCCAATGCTCAGATGATCCATCTTATAAATATGTCCAAGTGATGGGAGCAGCAGATAGCGTAATGATTACATCATTGGACTTCCATGTAGTTGACTGTGGTTCAAGTCTCAGACCCGGCAGCTTAGAACTCATGCCAGGTGCCTATGCATGTGTACCCAAAATTCTGAGAGGAGAATAGAGGAGAAGGGATTGCAGTGTAACCATACCCCTGGGGGATGATTTCTTGCTTTCTGTCTCTCTGTCTCTCTGGTGAGCACATGCACCCTATTGCAAAAATCTCTCTTTAAAAAAAAAAGAAAGAAAGAAAAGTAAAGAAGTGTCCAAGTGGTAAAAGTTGTGGTAAGAACTAAAGAGATAAAAGAGAAATTTTGGGATATGCTTTGAGTTTGTATTTTTTTTTCTCTCATGGCAATGATAAATAATAAACAAGTATTTGTGCCAGTCAACCATTCTTAAATGGACTATGTGTCAGTCAAATGAAAAAGTCAGCTTGTAAACTGATTGTAGAATGCAGAACCCTGAGGATTTTGTTTTTCAACATACACCAAGGAAATTGGCAATGCACTTTGGATTAAAAAAAAAAAAAAAGGTGGTGAAAGGCAGGAATCAACAACATAGGGAATTGCTCTAATTCCTTTTTTGAGCAAAGGGAGCTGGAGTTAAATTCCACTTATAAGCCCTCCCAAGCAAAATCACTTTTCTGTGGAAATTTTATTCATGTCACCAAAATGCTCTGCACTGTGGCTTAATGGGTGGTCTTGGCTGGAAATAAGGCCAAGATTAAAATAAAAGAAGCACACACACACACACACACACACACACACACACACACTCACATGACCAGGGCAGCTTGCTGCACCTGCACAGAGCCTCACGGGTCCCAAAGAAAAGCAATTAAAAAAATCAGTCATTCTGAAACCCTCTAAAGCAATTCAAATAAAAATCTATTCCATTCGCCCACGGACAGTGTTTCAAGAGTCTGAGTGCAAAAAAAGAATGAAAATGATCTGCTTGAGGGGGAATCAGTTAAGGAAAATGCATATAGTCTCAAGTTTGATGTTCTGACAGTTGAGACATCCTGAAATGAAGTATATAGTGGCGGAATAAGGTGAAACTTCACTGAATTAGTAGCAGTCAGCAACTTTATGGTCTTATCCACTGTAAAACATCTACCCTCACCATCTGCAAAATATAGAAGCATATTCATGCATACACTTAGACTCTCTCTCTTTCTCTCTCCAAACTTTGAAAATATGACATTATGTATTTTAACTCTATATGCAGCATTTGATAGGCATTTTCTAATTAGAATAAGAAGAATTGTTTGAAGAGCAAAAGGATTAGGGAGTCACACAACATATTTGATAAATCAAAGGAATAAAATAGGAGTATTTTCTAAGAAGTGTGGTTATTTCAATCCACCTGTGCACTTGGAACCAACTGTGTACAACATCTGGTTTAGGACACACATTGAATCTCAGATCTTTCTATGTTTCAATATGTGAAACCCCTGAGGTCTCTTTTGATCTCTCTGGAACCGAGAATAAAGTAAGTGCATTTTGTTACTCTTTCTCGGGAAGTATGATTTAACATCTATCTAGATAGCTTCACCAGGACAACCATGACAAAATGAGATGACCATGATAAAAGATCCCAGAAAGGGTGGAGGAATTGTTTAGATACATGCTTTTTAAAAAAGACACAATAGGGAATGTGCATGCCCAAAATAACAGACAATGAACAAAATAATTTCCCAGTGGTATGAGAGCTGTGCTAATGTTGGCTGGAAAGTAGTATAATCATGAAAACTCAGC